TAAGAATTGTCTTTTAAAAATTTGCAAATATCAAAATTTACATGATAAAAATAAATAAATTTATACGAAGTGTGGACAATCATTCTTTCGTTTCAGTAATTCGTATCACGAGCGTCCCTTTTTCTTAAAAATCGAACAAATAAATTTCGTGTTATTCAATCCAGTTAATCCTAAACAATGTGAAATTCCATTTTCAATAAGTTTTAAAGTATTCGTGCTTAAAAAATGTGCTAGAAATTCGTTAAACAAACCGAATTACGTAAAATGGCGAGTCTCCGCCAGTACTTGGAAACTGATTACAATTTCCAGGAACGTCCTCTGGCCTCGAGACACGAGGAAACGAGTATGGAACGTCGCTATGGCCCACGCGTGACTGCGTGTAACGTTATCGTGTTAAGTGTTACGTGTTAACCCGGTGTTAAGAAGCGCGACTTTAAACGAAGCGAGCCCGGATATGCTGTTGTTAGACCAGTTTTACATAAGGCTACCATGTCGATGGAAGATCAGAGATGATACGAACTCATGATTCATCATCAAAGACGATCGACGAATCCTGCGATCGAACTTTACATTCGTGATTGCTGTTCGCAATAATGGCGTACGATCGATCTTGGATATCGATAAATAATTCAGATATTCACCGATTTTTTTTTTTTTTGCGATGAAACATATTTTTCAAATTATAATAAAATTCTTCGATATCGTAATCATGTAATAAAATTCTTTAATGTATAGATCAATCGATATATAAAAATCAATTGCCCCGATGATTTTTAGAAAATTTTATATCAATCGCATGATAAATACTGACAATTGTCACGTGTAAAAAGAAAAAAAACTACTCTATCTCTAATCGAATAATAAAACAAGAAAGAAAAAAGTAGTTAGAAACGGTGAAAAAAACCATTTTCCTCTTATTATCCAGTTTGCCTATAATGCCAATGTGTATTAATATTCACAACCGGAGATGCATTTCACATACAAGCGTTAAAAAGAAGGGAACAACAATACGTCCAAGTATCGATTTCGAAACAGAGAGCATCTCTGTTGACAAATATACCAAGCATAATATAATAAGGAAGGGGAATAACAATACGTCAAATATTTACAAACACGTGATTTCTAGCGACGAATACAAGGAATCATGGACGAGGAGCGTGGGCCGCGAGTACATACGCGATAAAGTACGAAATAATTGTGTCGTTTTCGCATTGTTTGGTCCACCACGTGGCCGTTTCGTGACGACCATTCACGAGTACACGATATTATTCACGAGGCGTTTAGAATTGAATGCCTGCGAAGAACTTAAAAGGGGGCCGAGAGGGGGGGACAACGTCGATGTAATGCAATGCAATTGGCCTTGCGAGGTGAACGTACTCACGGATGATTCGAGGCATACTGCACAGCCGATGCACCGGTACAGGACGAAATCGTGCTTTCGAGGTCTTCGATCTCTTTGTAAACGACGCATTAAGTTGCGTCCTAGTATCGATGTAACAGCGAATACACTCGTAAATTGTGAAAGATTTCTATTTTACCCGTGCTGCCGTTTCGATTAATTTTCTATAAACATGTTTATAGAATTTAAAGAGCGTGTAATTTATAGATAAAAAATTGTGAAAAGAATTTTGCGATAATTTGCGATGGAATTTTTTATGCTCCATTTGCGTAATTATAATTGGAATATTTACAATTCACATTAAATTTAAATTTTAATGAATACACATTAATGTGCACTTTGTTTTGCATATTTTGCGCTTTTTAATACATTTTATACATTAAATTATTATAAACGCATATATTTAACTACGTGCTATCAAAATATACAGATTAATTATGATAATCAATATTTATTTGTTTGATATTCTTTTTTTTTTTCAAAATTAGTAACCGAATTAGTAAAATTTGTATTTGCGTAAAAATATGGTTTCCATTAGCATAAGCGTGCGCAATGTCCAACTATGACGCATAGTAGATAAATTTTATCAATCTATTTGTCATTCGCAGACACTATCGCGAGTATTATCATAAAAATATTCTCACAAGTCGAGACAGAAACCTGTGCAACCTCTGCTAAAACCACTTTAGTCTGAGGAGTTTCGACATCACTGCGAGACCTCTAGCCAAAGTAATAACCGTACTTTATACCTAACATAAAATGAGCAAAAAAAAAAGAATGATAAAAAAAAATTAGAAGAAAAAAAATTAATCTTCAACTTGTATATAATAACATTTTTCTAAACATTCTATGCATATTTATGAGATAATGCCATTTCCACGAGGTGCCTTCGATTCCCTTAGGGCAATCAACTGGCCATGCAAGAAAATTATTCCTGCATCATTATTTACATCTCCATTTTAATCAGCTTGCAATTCTATTACATCATCGAATAAAACGTCGAATGGTAAAAAATGGAATATTATAATTGGTCGACATTTTCTCTCCTCGCTACGAAGATACAAAGCATTGCGAAATCGGTAAGATTCGTTTGGCAAACCTGTTCACCCATCGTAGTTATAAAATATATATATAAGATATATATGTATAAGAAACATATCTAACAATGCAAGTTCCTTGATAGGAGAACGATGAGGAATTAAAAGATTCGCAAAACGGTCTGAAAGATTACGATAGAGGCTGTCTGCACGCTTATGATTCTTCTATTGTGTTGCAACACGCCCAACGAACGAGAGATCCGGCTTCGAATCTCTAGCTTCGTGTCTTGCGTCGGTGATGGTTAACCAGTCGTCGCGATCTGGTCTTTACAAGTTGTTAATGAGTGACAATATATTATAGAACAGTGTTTCCCAACTTCTTCTTCTTCTGGAGACCTATATTCTTGCATTTTTAACGAAGTAAATTCTATCTCTATACCAGCCATCGTCGATCTTCTTGATATTTTTGTTTTAGGAATGTATCTGGTAGAAAAAGGATGATCAAAGTCCGTCAAATACGGCAAATATGAAGAAAATGATGAAAGTTTCTCGGATGATTTAACGTATATTTATAACGTTAACACGTATCGTAACGTTAGCTACGCCCACGGGGGGGTGGAGTTTGACCTATAGCGATGCAATCTTCCCTAGTTTTATCGCCACTCGACTCCTACGTGTTCTCTTTATTGCTAGCTGATTATCTGGGCCCCGTTGCACAATAATTTGCCTATTAATAATGTTGTAATGTAGTATAGAATCTTGTTGCAATGCAAATAAACGCATAATATAATTCGATAGATTTCATAAAGTGAAATGAATTTTCATATTAACTATATCCTTGTATAATATTTATGCAACATGGTTTCCATATAACACGATTCTCATTCAATTTGTATCAATCCATTTATAATGCAACATCAGTGGATACATAGTATAACGTACAACACGATTTCGACGTAAATTTCAATAACACGCATAATGCGTTTTCGTTTCTTAATATTACCTCAACTTGCACAAATAAATAATCGTATTCGAAAAAAAAAAAATATTCAATTTCAATCATTCTCTTCGCCGATGTTCTATCAATCACATCGTTTTCTCGCTATCACAATGCGCATAGAGATTAATAATGATAAAAAAAAAAGAAAAAAGAAAAAGAACCTAAGGAAAAATCAACTATCTATTTTTCTTCTCGCAAGTACATTCACCACCAGTCACACGATGTCCAATCAATCACATTACTTACTTGCTGTACTCTATCCCGTACATATTGACGCCTGCGCTACGTATGCAGAGGGCATAGGGACGCGAGGCGTCCAGACGGCGGAACGTGGTTAGCCGTAAATTATTTCAATGCACCTAAAGCGTCGAATGTACCGAGAGTATTATTTACGACGCTGGGTTCTCCTAGGTGCAGCCTAGGCCAGCCACGGATAGGATACGATTACATCACGGCATAAACAGTCGGTAATAGTGGCTCAAGGTCTACTATGCGCGTATGCGTCTCGCCACCGTTCTATAACCCGCCGTTTCCTCTCTTTCTCTGCCTCTTTCCCCGGCCCAATCGTTCTTCACGTGTGTGCACACGTGTCCACACACTTTTCGACACCGCTTTGAGGAGAAATCGTCGAGGAATTGTTTGGAAACTCCATCTTTTAAAGCGTTCCGTTTTGAAATAATTTCGAAAATATCTGATCTTTCAATAAAAAAAGTTTATGCAACGTTAAAACCAGCAATTTTCTATTCCATCGCTATCTATTCCGGCAACTAATATTTTTTTTTTTTTACGACATATCAGAATCTTTAATAAAAGTGCAAAACAGTTTATACAACATTAAAACCGCCAATTTTCTATTTCCACGCTGTCCACGCTACGGATATTCCAAGAGCTAATACTTTTTATAATATCTCCTTAATAAAGGTGTAAAGGATATATTTTATGCAACATTAAAAGTGGCAATTTTCAATATAGATATTGTATCCACGTTGAATTTCCCTTAAGGGAAGGCAAGAATATCGTTCCTCGTGACCAACCGCTAACGCGAGGCCGCGCAACAAAATTCAACGATCGTTTCGAGCACCTTTTACGTACCCATGATTCGCGATAATCCTTATCTTCGAGGCTGTTCACCGTGAAACGCTGTTCATTCGAATGCATGCTACGACCGGCAGTCATTTCACGTCCATAAGCTGGCGATAGACACCGGCTAACGTTGATTAATACGTCATTGACGTGTCCCCCGTGGTGATGGTCGGACGTAACGAGGTCACAGATGATTCGTTCTAAAATGACGACAACGAGAGTCACCTCTCCACTCCACGTTTTTGAGAAATTTTTCAAATTATCTCCATTAAAATATATATACAGATACTATTAGATTAGAAATATAATTTACAATCATTCTCATATGCAATACCATCCCCCGTTTTTGTACCGTATGTTTTCATTCGTAATAATTCGTCTCTACAATTTCTTCCTTCCTTCAGATGAAAATCACTTAATCATTCCTCCAAACTATCTCTTCGCTTCCAAACTGTACTACTCTACCCCTTCCCCCCCCCCTCATCGATTTAATCTCTCACGCATGATGCTCCCCCTCCGATTCGCAACTTCGATTCCTTCATTTTTCCACGCAAGGTGTTGGAGAATATACGTGGCGGGAATGTACGCGAGCGTAATCGAGCTGAACGTGAGCGCGAGTGCGACGTCCTCTTTGCGGCGATACGCATTATTAATAGCTACACGTAGCTACGAAGATTGCAACTAATGGCCGAGGGAAGCTGGATATTCAACCGGCCTCGCCTAGAATCCTAGAAAAATTCGCGGAACGAGTTTTCTCGGGCTCGATTAACCTCCTGTCTACCGTCCTAGACGTCCACAAGCCTCCCCCCCCCCCACCCGTTCATCCGTTCCTGCATAATCACCGTGCATTCGTTCGACGACGCTTATTCGCTACGCTTCGCCAACTCCTCTTATCTTCTCCCCTGAGGGATTAGAAAAATGTTAGATCGAGAAAGAATCACGTTCCCTTACGAGGAATATTGAGGAGGAAGGTTATACTTATTGAATTATGCAAGAACAATTTTCAAAAGTGACACTCTCAATTATAATTCGGTGAAAATGAAACTCGGCCCCTGTTGAACATTCACTTTCGATTTTACAGACGACAAAACAGAAGATAAGATAACCGAACCGTGGGGCAAGCAATATTCGCATAAAATCGGCTCGAAATAAAAATCCGGAATTTTACGTAACCTCCCCCTCCCCCTCTTTGGATCGTTCGATCTGCAGAACCGTACCTCTCCTCCCTCGACAGCTGCACGAAGAGAACAGCTCCTTCTTATATTTTTTTTAAAATCCATCACGTCCATTAAGACGCAAGGTGTCGCATGGATGTCCATTTACGTGCACGAGTCCGTGAAATCACGCCAACTCGTAAAATCGTCGGGAAAATCGACGGTTGGATGCCCCTCCTCCCCTCTCGATTTTTTTTTCTCCTTTTCCTTTTCTCGAAAGAGAACGGCGTTGCCACCGTTCTTCATAACGTAACGAAGATTATCTTTTGCTCGAGGAGGGCGACCCGCTGGGAGGATCCTGCATGGCGTAACAGAGTCGTGAAAAGAAGCAGGAGCGCAATGACAGCCGCGTATAAATTACACGCAGCCGGCCGGTTCTTGCGTATATCGCGATATAGCACGTGCGTACTCACTTACTTGCGCGTAATAATCGTGCAGGGGAGGAGGAGAGAAAAGGAGGAGGGGGGGAGGGGTTGATATGCGAAATATCATCGCGTGTTTGGATATGGGGTGGGGGGAGATTTGATAAAAAGTGGTACGATTGACGTGGTGCAAATTTGCATTGAGATTCGGTAGACGATACATCTCCCTGGCAAAAGTGTTTGTACATCTTGAGCGAGTTCGATCGGTGAATTGAATGTTGTCGAAGAAATTTTGTAGAATATATGTAGATGTGTGTTATATGTAAATGGAGTGTAGTTTTTTTTTTTTTATTAACGTCGCTTCGAAATAAAATCAAACCCTTGGAGATATTATTTTAATAAATTTACATCTACTTCTCTGTAAATAAATTCTTTCATCCTCGTAAAGAGATACCTTGTAACAGCGCTGATCGATAAACATAAAAATTAATCGCGCTTTGAAATGAGCGAAAACCGGCTAAACAACGGGAGCAGCTCCATTTTATGGGATCGTGCCTCATTATGCGATCCCGTAAAATACTTGCTACACTCCCGTGAAAATGAATCGAATGAAATACACAATACAGATTTTGCATATTTGTTAAAATAAATATTCAATGTATTTATAATAATTATCTCAAATAATTTCTAATATCGATCCTCAATCACTATAATTAAGAGTTTGAAAAAAAGGTCTAAAGTATTTAAAAATTATAACAACTAAATAAAAATTATTTTTGCACAGTTTGAAACGATCCATTAAAAAAATTTAATATTATTCCAATACGTTTAACGATTCACAGAGATTGAGAAACGCTGCGTTGAATCGTTCGAAAAATCCGAGCAATTAAAAACAGAGGCAAACGTTGCAACGCTCGCCAACGTCGTTGAAGTAATAAGGAATCGCGGGAAAGGATAATTGGCACGCGATTAAAATGACAATCTACGGCGCGGAGGGTTCGTTACTTTTCCTCCGGCGGATGTAAAATAGCCGGCTATATTATCGCGATTATGCAGCCCCCGTGGAGGTGAAACCAGATGCAAGAATGTTGCGGCGCAAGTTGAGTTGTGCGGTCGCGTTACTTAAGCCAGGATTTATTTATCGTATAATCGATGGACGAGGCAGAAAAGCCGCGTGTACACGTGGCGATGTTAACCCCGAACCGCACCGCGACACTAACGATATATTATTATGCTCACGCTGGGTGAGAATTAACGTCTTATTTCGTCGTGGGGGAGAGGGGAGAATTCGAGGATTTCATGAATATATTTTGTCTTTATTAAATTGGTCGAGTTGGATGATATAACGTGGCACTCCTGGCAAAAAATGACTTCATCCTCGATTTTCTCGATCGTTTTTTAATAAAATTTAACCGGTTCGAAGGGTAATAATAATTCGTGTTTCCTTCCTTTATTTTAATCAGAGCATATATTCTTACCAATTGTTGTATATATCGTTTCATCGTGTCTTTTATTTATTATAGATTTTATTCAATATTCATAATTTTTTCTTCAAAAGTGATCGGTGTGTTGATCAATTAATGAAATAGTTGCAATTAAATTTCGTCCAATCCTTTAAATTTGGTTAAAGATAAATAAATACTACCACAAAATCTACTCAATCAATGAAAAGTAAAAGATACCTATATCGAATAAAAGAAATAAACTTTGATAAGCGATTTATGATCTCATTCTAGATTAGAAAAAAAGAAAATCCATTCACTCTCTCGATCAAGATATAGCTTCAAGGTAGACAATTCCGAAACCAGTATCACAGAAATTCTAATCAATATTCAAATATGCAAATATATGTAAGAATCAGGTTATACGAGCATACACTAACTCGCTTTTAATGCAAAGAAATTATTGAAGTTCCTAAATTATTGAATTCCGATTATTTTCCACGATACACAACGAACGTACGACAACAAAATTTTACCCACGACTCCATCTCCATCAACCCCCCCAGAAGAAAGAAACCACTCGCGATTTCTTCCTATTACGATTAAATCAATTAAATCAATTTTTGACTGGCAAAGAACACGACCTTACCTCGAAAGCCTCGCCCAGCAAATTCCTGTCTGGCGATCCAGTCTCGATCCTTCGATCTCGATCGATTCGACAAGGACACTCGAGGTGGTGAACGGTGGCCTCGAGGAGGCACGGTTGTCGCGAGCCTTCCTTCCGCGAACGGACCCCTCACAAATGTGTCGAACCGTGTCACGCTCGCTACACAGGTCGTTGCACCCGAATAAACGAGTCAATTTTCATTCGAGCCGGGCCCCAATTTCCGCGGACGAACTTCTCACGCAACCGAACCTATTGTAATCGCGACATTGGTGAGGCGATGGGGTAATGATATCGCGGCTCTGTTCGTTCGAAACAACCGTTGTCTTCGTGTACAAGCGTGGGAATATTATGCTTTAAAAAATAAGACAGATCGCTATAGAGATTTATGATAATTGTATCGTAAAATCGCGAACGAATACGTTACGTTATTCTACAATAATGGCATTTTTGTTTTTTTCGTCATTCCTTCATCTAAATACGATATACTTGCGTCTAAAATTAATTAACGTATACTATAATTACAATGATTGGTGTTAGAAGAGACAACCTCCTTCGATGTGTCGACATGCATTTTAATGTATTCTTGTCTAACGAATCTAACAAAAAAAAAAAAAAAAGTAAGAAAAACTCGACGAACCGGCTAATAAATCTCGAGAAAAATTGGAGGGAAGAAAAAAATGGAAATTAGATCACATTATGAATAATCGTATCTCGAAGGTGTTATCGTAAGAGCGGCGAGGATTTTTGTGTCTAGCCGCTGTCTACCGATGACTGCAGTTATCGATAAAAAGACAAGCTATTAGTGTCGGCTGATACTATCTTACGTCGCATCGTTACAACACGCACGACCGTATATTTTATTCATTAGTCATCGTCTGCGACATTTTCCTCTTTTTTTCTTTTTTTTTTTTTTTTTTATTCCCCGTGACCGAGAGTATCTACGTGTCGCGTTTGAAATATCTTCCTGGCGTGCGTGTTTCGATTTTTTCCCCTTTGCGTTTCGCGGGGAGAGAACGTGGGCAACGCGTGATAAAGTGAACCTGGATGGAAAGTACACGTGTATGCCTCGTACGTTAAGTGTTTGAGAAAATTTTGTGAAAATACGTGAGATATATTATAAACAAAAGGGAGGAACCCTTGACGAAGATAAAATTATGCAAGATTATGCAAGGATTTCTCTTCCAGTTTAATTATTAATAATAGAAATGTACACTTCGTTGAACTCAGTTTCAATATTGAACGAATGACAAAATTATCATCGATACGAACAAACTTGATATTCAAATGAAAAATGATTCACGACCAAGAAAATTCATCAAAGCTGTTTATTTCTACGCGTTATCTTTAATCATTCGTAGTAAATTATCCAAATTAACTAGAAACAAATCGAACGAAGAAACACCGAGGATCACGTGCAAAATTTCAACAATACCCAATGGACGATCAAATTCAAAGCAAACGAACTTCCCACCGTAAAGGAAAAAAAAAAAAAGAAAGAAATTCCCTTCCTCGAACCACAACCAAACCTTCGATTCACAAGATTCAAACTTCCCTCTTTCGCGTACACGCAGCTCGTAACAACTCGTAAACCCCAATGAGACCATAAAATCGGAAATCACGGATCGACATCCATCGAATTAGTCTCCGCTTTCAATTAGCGAACTTTGTCGAGGCAGCGAGGAGGTATCGATCGAAACGCGGCCACAAACGTGAGGCATCGACGTCGGCGTCGGCGTCGCGACGCCCGACGACAGACACGTACGAAGGCCTCTCTCCGCCGCAGCTTGGCCACGGCTCGAATTCTATTTCGCGGGCAGGGGGATGATCCGACTCCTCCGCCTCCTCGCCGCCCGCTTGTTTATACCGTTTGTGCGCCCTTTTAAAAATAGGCGTTCATTCAAGGATCCCGGCCAGACGCTGGCCAGACATTCGACGCATTGTATACAGGCGGGCATTTTGCCGGGTGCATTCTCGCCGCGCGTGTGTCTTTATCGCGCGCGCCAGTGTACACAAACGTCTTTGGAAAGGAAACAGACGTGGCGAGGAAACAAGCGACGAATCGATTTTGGGAAGGGGACGTGAGATTCCTTACTTGTAAATATTATTCGGATTTATTATTCGAGATTCCTTTCGATCGATCGGGGATAATTTGTGAGAATTGACGAGGAATCGTCAATTGAATGGAGATTTTTTTTTTTTTTTCTGTGCGTTCGAACATGCGTTCGTTGAGACAGTTCTTAAGAAATAATATAATGTGCGATCCTAATTTGAATATTCTCATAAGCATCTATTATCTATTATATAGCAAAAATTAATTGTTGCTGATAAAAAAAGAGAAGGGAGAAAGAAATTGAATCGAACGTATCGAACATTATTCGTCACGTACAAATTTCAATAATAAATTAAATTTAATTTAAATTTTTGTAACGAAGGATCGAACGGCTCATTATTTTTCTAATTAAAAACGTCGAAAACGTTGAAATAAAAATGTTACTCTTTCGTATCTTCGCATTATCTTCGATAACACGCCCCCGTTTCTCATAATTGGCCGTCTTCGACCCCTTTCATTTCCCAAGCGACCATCGCAATTGGGCCCGTTAACTAATTTAGCTAGCGTTACATTTTCCACATTCCCTCGACGATCGTTTGGCGACGTGCTCGTGACAGTAGCTGATAACCCGACCTCGGCCAAGAATTCGACTCGCACCTTTCGATGATCCGCACGTTCAACGAGTCGCGTTTAACAATAGGCTTTAACCTCATACGCTTCGATTTAAATAATTCGATAGAAATAAATTTGAGTAATTAACACTCTATCGATATTCTATTCCAAATAGAAAGTACGATGGAAAAACGATGGAGAATAAATGCATTTCGAAATGATTTCGATTCGTTCGTGACACGTTAAACAGAGATAGATACTGGTGGATTTCTTCGTAAGTATACTAGAAATATGCTTATGTCACCCTCTTTTCCCGGTGGCAGCCACCGTGCAAGCGGCGAGAGATTATTTTTGTTTAGTCTGCTGCTTCCCTTCTAAACGGTTGCCACTGTGTACGGCTTTATAGGTGCACACCAACTTGAATTATTCGACGAATTGTCTCGTTTGTTTATGATTTAGAATTGTTCCCTCCTGCAGGAGATTCATCATCCGTTTGGGAAGAGGATTTTTCCATTAAACCTTGTATCAATAGAATTTTTCATCGAGCGACTCTTAGAGCCGAAAGAACAAGTTGATTTACGACTGGGAATATTTGAAATTAGTATCACTGTTAACGATTTGAACAATAAGAATTCCACTATCACTTCGATGGATTGAAATTGTAGAAATTAATTTCACGAGATGTATTGTAAAAAGATAACGATGTATCGCGATATAGTAATAATAACATTATAATACTTGTATTATACATTACTTTCATCGATCTTTTGTCATTGCCGAAATAAAATCTCTACTTAAATCGAGAGGAAAACGCGATCAAAAAGAACGCTCTACATAAATAATAATCGATCCTTCCTATCAACCTTGATCCTCGAAGAACAGATTCGAAAGAAATCGATGCTTTGCGAGAGAGAGATAAAGAATAAAAGTGAAAAGTCAAGGGAGTGATCTGGTGCGAATATAACAAAGGGAACGGCGAATAATCGTATGAATGACAGGCATTGCAGACGATTTCGAAGTGCTCATTAGAGAGCATTGATTTAATCCGAGCGATGCATCATCGAACGTTTGATTTCGGTAATTAGGTGTTCGAGGAATTTTAAACGTTCGAAAGGAGAAGCGATCGCTGGAACATTGAGCATTCGATCGACGTATTCGAATCGTAATTGTGCTCGTTCCATTGGAACGGTAAGGGTAATCATCGTGCGAAGAATCGAGCACGAGATGCCGCGTTGGAAGGTTCTGAATTTTCGACCATCCTCCATCGTGGCGAACCGAAATTCCATTCGAATACGGCAGCTCTATGATTATTGTGTCCGACGATACAATAACAAAATACGATTACTTACACTTACGTGTTTTCATAAATATTATCGATAAACGAGAGAAAAGAAAAATGAAGAAAATCGTTAAACACGTATCGATAATGGAATTGACGATCGTTCGCAAGATACGGAGACCTCTCGAGGTCTCTTTCTTTCGTAACAATCCACGATCTTCCTTTTACTATATCTATCTAAATCTTATTAACAACCATATCGAACAAATCTTATTGTATGTACGATTACGTATAAACAACAATTCTTCCTTTATTTATTAATCGAAACATTGAATGAACTTATATTTTACATCACTATCTCACAATCACTTTCGATTATCTTATTCTCGATCATTATTCTTCTCTGATAAAAACATCATCGCTAAATCTTACGCTTTAAATCGTACTTACGCTATCTTATCGTAACGTATAATAAGCTGCGTATAAATCCTTCTCATTTAATTTTCGCCGATAAACGGGCTCGGATTTTTACATCGCCGTTTTGCGAATGATTTTCAATTCTCGATCCAACTGAACTAGCAGCGAAATTCCACGGTCGGTATCCGATGATATCGATGATGGAAAATGGCCAAGAGGTGTATCGGACATACGACAGCGGCGAACGACTGCTCCTGGTCGATGCCCCAGTACTGTGCACTTGGCACCATTTTCCTACCCTACCCAACGCAACCCTTCTCTTCTCTCTCTCTCTCTCTCTCTCTGTCCCTTTCCTTCCCTTTTTCGCGATGAAGGGATGAAGGGGGAGAACGGATTAAATCAAAGGGTGGAGGGTCTGACGCGGCAACGGTGTCAGCGCGTCGAGATATACGGGGTGTTTTCAACTGTACGCAGAAACTTGCCCGGTTAATGGGACAAGCGTGGTAACGACGCGTGGTTGGTTGATTAAGGGTTTGCAAACTAATCCATGTTCCTGACGATTATTGCTGCGATTCGACTAACGATACGTGTGCAATTTGTAATCACACGTGATATTTAAATTTCGTACAATTTTCATTTTGAAAATTTTCACTATTTTCTATTTTATACAAATGAAAATTTATCTCAAGTTTTTAATCAAAACAGAGGCTGTATATATCGAATTG